GGTGGGGTTTGCACTTTGCAAACCTGCGTGCTTTAAGTTTTCACTCTTTAGCCGTTTGCATTTCCCGTGGACATAAAAGCTCCCTCCCTGTCATCTAACAGTGAAAAGCCTTGAGTGATTGACAGCTAATATGAACCAATATAGCGGCAGGGAAGAGCGATTCAGCACGTTTAAAAAAAAAAAAAATCAAAACAGGTCGCACTAATGCGCCCAAATTTACTATGAGGTCGCATCGATTAATTTTCGGGCGCATATGCGACCAAAATGGTCGCAATTTCGAGCCCTGTACAACATCCAAGTGTAAAGATTTATAGTTTAGCCAAACAGGTAGTTTCACCCAAAAAAATATGTACAATAAATAAAATAATTTTCTGTTCTTTTAGATTGTACTCACCCTCAAGTCATTACTGTTCCTTCTCAGTAAAAAAGATTTCATCTGAAATAGAGACTGAAACCTTGGTAGGTCAAGATAATAACAAATAATACCCTTTCTCCTGACATTAAGCAATAACTCTGTAAGAAGCAACAATACCTCTCAATCACTCTGTGCAAAAAACATATACATTAGATATACTCTGTACATAGAAAGACAAACAAATTTGTTGCTTGCTATTGCTTAAATACTATTTTGTGTTGTTAAAATGTTAACACAGGGGCATCATGGTGTTGCAGTGGGTAGCACGATCACCTCACAGCAAGAAGGTCGCTGGTTTGAGCCTCCGCTGGGTCAGTTGGCATGTCTGTGTGGAGTTTGCATGTTCCCCCCATGTTCGCATGGGTTTCCTCCGGGTACTTCGGTTTCTTCTCCAAGGACATGCGCTATAGGTGAATTGGGTAAGCTAAATTGTCTTAGTGTACAGTATGTGTGTGATTGAGTGTGTATGGATGTTTCCCAGTGATTGGTTGCAGCTAGAAGTACATCTGCTGCATGAAACATATGCTGGATAAGTTGGCGGTTCATTCAATTGTGGCGACCCCTGATTAATAAAGGAACTAAGCCAAAAAGAAAAAGAATAAATAAATGAAAATGTTAATACAGCATTAAACAAATTGTAAACTTTTTTAATTGAGTTTTAAATATGATGTAATCTAAATAAACACAGTAGATTGTTAATCCTGCAGAAATAAATGTTTATGCATGGCATGGATAAAGAATGGCAATTTTTTTAGACCTAATATATATGTCCAAGATTACAAAGTGACCTGTGATATCTGACATTATCAAATTCAGACAGAATTATTTATTTGTTTGTTTGTTTGTTTGTTTGTTTGTTTGTTTGTTTGTTTGTGTTTTTCTTTTATTTTGTGATTTATGGGCTCAATATCTTCTTGTTTTCTTGTGTGATTAGAAAACATCTTAGGGATTTCAGAAAAGTCTTGTGTTTTGTTTTAACGTTAGATAGACATCATAATAAATCACTGCAGACAAATTTTTAAAAAGAAATCCCAGATTAGCCAATATCACCCAATTACTGTAAGAACGATAAACAATCATTCATTCATTTTCCTTTGGCCTAATCCCTGATTTATTAGGGGTCACCACAGCGGAATGAACCGGCAGCTACTCTGGCATATGTTTTACACAGTGGATACCCTTACAGCCGCAACCTAACTTAATTATTAACATTATTAATCTTATTACATTAACCAGCATCTAAAATGGCATGAGGGTGAGAAAATTAAGAAAATAAATTAACCAAGATGATTTTTTTTTTGCAGTGAACTCTTTATTTTAATTTAGTTAAGATGTTTCAAAGCTCAAAAAAGTTGTGGATAACAAATGTGCAGACGTCAGCCATTCACCTTGCTTTTCATGCGGCTCTCTGGCATTTGAAAAGAAACATCCGTAACTGGGCAATTCAAGCACAAAGCCATCCTGTATACAGTGACACGGCCCCTGGGAGGGTCTAGGAAATTCACTGCAGTGTTGCCAGAAAGTCATTTGTGCTTCCTCAAAAGCCCTGAACAAACAATTGAGTTAACCCTTTGGAGCTCTAAAGGTTCACAAATGCATTTTAGGCTCCTGATGAATGGATCAATTGTATTTAACTAATATGTCTTGTGTGTATTTTGACCAGTCGGATCGCAAGTAGATGAGGAAGACCCATTCTTGTTTACATCTCTTTAATTATGTCTATTTACTCTGTGTTCCTGGTTTCAGCTTTCCTGATTTCTTGGGAAATCCCAATATCTTTCAATCTAATACTATAAAATAAACTAGGTAAAAAGTAGACAACAACTGAAAACAGCAGCAGTTGGCCAGAAACTTTCTGTAAATCAACTGCAGCAAAAATACTGTATATACATTTACAGCACTATTAATTTTGCTGTATGCACTTACAGTATTGTATATCTTTACAGTAAAATTTACAGTAATTTTCACAATGCATCTTTGAAATACAGTAACATACTTCAAAACTGTCCGGCAGTAAAATACAGTTAATATTACAGTTAAACACTGTGTAATTTACAAAGTGTAAATTCAGGCAGAGGGAAGAAATTCATACAGGCATTTATTCATTCACTCTTTGTCGGCTTAGTATTAATCTGAGGTTGCCACAGCGGAATGAACCGCCAACTTATTCAGCATATGTTTTATGCAGCAGATGCCCTTCCAACTGCAACCCATCACTGGGAAACACTCATACAACCAGGACCTTCTTGCTGTGAGGCGAGGCCTCTACCCACAGCGCCACCGTGAAGAAAGGAACATATTTTACTTTTTTTTTTTTGCCATCAAAACAACTTAAGATTCCAAACATTAAAATGGATTTTCCTACAAATGTCCCTCAAAAATGTTAGAGTTTGATGCAGACCACCATTTAATGGGGAGCCGGGTTTACTGTTTCATGCTGCTCAAATACATTTCCTGTTACCGTATTCCTCACTCACGCCAACTGGTGTTCAACATACAACATAGTACCATAATACACTGTTCAAAAAATGTTCATGCCCAATACAAAAATATGTCTCATAATAATCAAATTAGTTCAGCAGAACAAAATGAAGAAGAGAATCACTAGTCTTTTGTGTTTGTTCAAACAAGCAATCTGGTTTTAATTGTTTTTAACTACCACTAAAGAAATGATTGAAAGTGGACAAGCTCAGAACATTTACCCTTGCATTTAGTGTTAATTGGATTGACAACATTCCCATAAAATTTGCAAAAGCATTGTTATCACTGAACTCTTGTCTGATTTGCTCAAGTAGGCAAAAGGTCTCATTGCTCATGAAATTTTGACTTTTTAAAACCTGAAATAGATCACTGTGTGACTGCCATTCAAAAGTTTACGGAAAATGTTTTAAAACACCTAAAGGTAAAAAAAAAATAATAATAAAAATTCAGCAAGAATTAATGAAAAATAGATCTAGTATGACATTCTCATGCCATTTGAAGACAAATTCAAAATAGATTTAAATATGCATATTAAAGCAGTTTTCTTTCTGATGAGATTGAATCTTTTTGTTGTTTATTAGTGATATTGTCGCTCAAAGCATTGCCATATTCATTAGATTAGACTACTAATTAGATCATTATATTTTTTAACAGAGAATTTTAAGGGTTAGTTCCCCATTTTTTTTTCGTTCTTAATTACTCACACTCATGTCATTCCAAATACCTAAGACCACCTCATGAACACATGCAATATACTGACACCGAGAAGAAACTGTTGAATAGAGTTATTTTTGTTTCATGTGTAACCCTGCCGGTCCTACAGCACCCAACCCACTTCGAGCTGGGATCAAACCGGTGACCTTCTGCATGGGAGTCGGTTGCTTTAACAAGGAGGCTAAAGATCATGGCCTCTAGCATCCAAAGCATCTGTCACTAAAGCACCTTTAGCGGAGTGAGGTTTATCTGCGAAGCACTTTACTAGCTGCCCTCTACTACATACAGTGTGTGAACAAAATGGTTCTAGTAATATTCCAATTGAACCACTGAAGGCATATGATCTGTTTTGAGGATGTTTGTAGTTTATTTCTGGACTTTGGACAGGCTGGGACCCTTTCTGTCAATAGTTTCTGGCTGCAGATAGGCACAGACCAGTATAAGTTTCTGATGGTATAACATTGGATAAAAACGTAACAGTATCACAGTGACCCAGCCGAGGCTCGAAACGGCAGCGACCTTCTTGCTGTGAGGCGATCGTGCTACCCGCTGCACCACCATGCAGGGTGTAATTAATAACAATTTTAATTTTGGATGAAGTAACCCTTTAAGTAAAAGACTAAGTAGCTGTAGGCAACAGTAATATTGCTGAACAAACATTTTTATAAGCATTCTGCAAACAAAATAATTTGCTTACTACTTGGAAGTGATTCAGAGAGAAAGTTCTTCCTCATAAAACATTCCAGAGCTAACTGTCAGTAACGCAGTTTCAGTAGTCAATTAAAAAGTACCACAAAAGTCACTTTCACAAAGACTTTCACATCACATCAATGCAACACACTAAACCATAAATTACAAAGTCTTAACTCACATGCCTTTTAAAGATACCTACTCTCTCTCTCACACTCTCTTTCTCTTTAGTCAAATCAATTCAAACTTGCTTTATTAGCTTGTGTTGTATGGCATTTGTGATGTTTACTCCTCCATCTTTCTCTCTCTCTCATACACTACACGTTATAATAATAATAATAATAATAATAATAATAATAATAATAATTTTCAATGTTTTACTTCTCAATGCTCATAAGTTTTTTTTTTTTATAAATGTTTTCCTTACACATTTTTTTTTTGTTTGTTTGTTTAAGGCGGTTTTTACATTCAAAGTAGCCTCATACAAATGCTAGGCCAAAATTAGGCGGCCCATGCAGGGAATTACAAAAACACATCAAATATGCATACATTTAACTTTAAGCTGTCATACAGACAGACTGCTCATTAACAGTGCCTTAGATCACTATGTTATTGCAGTACACTATGCACCAAACCGAGTGGACCAGGCGGAACTTTCAACACTCGAGTGTTATCCGGGGAAATTTATTCTGGTTGCTTCAGTTTCAGGAAGTGCGCATGTTTTGAAAGATGGCGGATGTTCCTAACGATGCACCAGAACGTAAGTTTTAAAAAATGTTTATAATCTTTCTCATAAAGCGGGTAAAATTCGCTTATTTTTTATTTCCACTTCTGCATAGTTTAAACATCGCTTCGGCTAAGCTCACACACATACAGCAGGTTTCGTTGTTCCACTTTGAACTTTATTTCTGTCTTGGAAACTGACATCTGTCATTTCTGACAGTCTCACACAACAACTCCGTGTATCAGCTGCCTTCGCGTTTACATTACTGTCTATTATAAAAGCCATAAATATAGTTACAGTTAAAACGTTCTATCAAACTAAGTATAGGAACTTTTTCTGTTTCTAAAAAGCAGAGTGAACTTATGTTGAGACTGAGTACAGCTGTCTTTGTGTTTATTAATACATTCATTTAAGGGACATTCTACCAGAAACCTACATTATCTATCCCTGAAATAAAAAGATAAATACAGCGAATAAAAAAAGTATTTTTTAGCTAAAATTTCCAAAATGGACTGATGGTTGATTTCTGTGAGTTGTTCTGTAAAGGAGTATGTCATTCATTTAGTTTTCAGATTTTTGTTCCTTATTAAAAGCACTTTACAAATGTTTAAACCCTGTCATTGTCCTTGTCCTCAGCCCCAAATGCACCTACAGCCTTAATAGTTTTGTTGTGTTAAACACTTATTTAGAAAAAAAAACGTCAGAAATAGCAAGTTTAGGTTGTTATCATTCACATCAATTGATAAAAACACGAAGTTATAAATAAATTCTACAAATAAATACTAAAAATATATAACAAAAATAAATTTACAGTTGTCCCCATGTTTCTGTAAGTCCTGTCACATTTGCGTTACATTTAACATAAAATTCATGCAATACACCTTCATAGATATATACACTATGTATAGGGACCCTGAGCATGCGTCAATAGCGCCTGTACATTGGTACAGTGCTCCCAGAACAAGTGTGATTCAACCGCACTAGCCAAGACAGTGTTACTACGTGAAAATGCTGGACTTTAGCGCTGTCTACTGGTGTTGTAACGAGCAAACAAAGAAAACAAGGCACAGAGGCAGAATATTACATGGGTAAGGTTTAGGTTTTTACGTTTTTGTATGTTATGAACTTTTGTGCTACACAGGTAACGTTATTGATGATAATACAGTCACTTACTGCATTCACCATAAGGCAAAGTAGCACAAACTCACACTAAATACTCAGCTTATGCTAGTTTTGTTGAATAAAATAAGCAAACAATGCAAAAGAAATGTGAAAACGAGATGCTGAGCTGCCAAAAACTTGTACTATTGTCGGCTAGTGAAGGATTCCTTTATAACGGAGATTCATTAAAACGAATCGCTCCCCCCGTCAGTATGAGAAGTGAAAGCAGGAGAGGAGGTGTGTATCAGGAAGGGTAGATCGTACATTTCCATACACACAAATACAAGCTTTCTGTCAGGTATGCCTGTGAGATCACTTATCCATCAATGTAGAAAAGTGATGTAAAATATAATCTTCATAATTAATAAAAAAAAAATGTAGCATACTGACCTCCGGGAAAACTCCCGATCATAGATATATGTATATATGTGTAATTCTCTGGCTCTAGATGGCCACAGTCCTCCACTGCAGCTTGGTCCCGCATTCATTTCAAAGGTGTGCTACCCTGTACTAAAATGGCGGCTCTATTGACGCATTCCTTCCAATAGACAACAACAGGGTAGGCGACATGTAAAGTATATATCTATTATGCACCTTAAGGCTATGACTCGGAAGTGACATCATTTGATGGAGGAGAGTTCTATCATTGAACTGTATGATTTTAAATCTAATGAAATCACTTAAATATAATCACTTTTATTGTCATATCAGCAGCAGCACGTGTGCAATGATGAGTGAAAAACGTTGGTGCTGGCTCCAGACAGTGCAAAACATAACAGTGCAAAATACAATGACAGTGCAAAGTACAACATCATACTCCCAAAAAAACAAAGAAAACAAGACAACATACAATTGTCAATGTTGACAGTAATACGTAGAAAGACAATGGATAGGTGTACACATAGTCTGACTGTTGGTAGAAGATTGTTGTAGACAATATTGTTTTAAGTACGGATCGGTTAAAGTGCAGTGCATGTTAAATCTTGAAAATATTTGTTTTGTATAATTTTTTTGAGAAAGACAATCTTAAAAATCAGGTCCTGTCAATTTTTTTTTTTTATTAGTGAAAATGTTCGTTGCTGGTAGAATGCCCCTTATGCCTAGTTCAGACTGCTTAATTTTAGCCACAATTTTGGCTCGCCGACAGGTTTTGAGAAATCGCCGACAAATGCCTGAAATCACAGCCAAATCGGTGCTCGTGCACGTGAGTGACAATCACACAGTATGAACTATCAAAGACGTGATCGGAGAGAATCACCGATGAGTCGCCAATGCCTGCGAGATATTTGGCATGCTAAATATCTGGAGCTGTTTGCAATTAAAATCATGCCGTGTGAATTGAGTTTTGACTGAAAATAACATCAACGATCGCCTACAGCCAATGAGAGAGCAGCATTCACTTGTGTTTGCGTGTGTGTATACCTGCTGCAGGCCAGCGGGAGGCTGGGGGAGAAGTTAAAAGCTCTCTTTTTTGGTTTATTTGGACCCACGAAATGGAGGAAAAACTAGTGGAAGTTTGACAGGACTCAGAAGCAACCGTGTCTGTTTGACGTTTCATACAGAAAGAAATTAGTTTATTATCAACGTTTAGGAGAAATGGCTAATTCCCTTTAAACCCAGGTGAGCAAATATGTACATTTTCTACCCCATTAAAGGCTTATTTCTCATTGTTTAGTTAATAACAAAAGATATATGACGTGTTTTTGGCTGTGAGACATAGTTTGGACGAAGTTGTCGGCGATTCTTCCTATAGTAAAGTCATGCAATGTGAAAGTCCTTGTTGCCGATCCATCTTGCAGTGTAAACAAAGCAGCGACGAAACGCTTGACCAGATAGTCATGCAGTGTGAAAACATCTGTGACACGACTACTTTGAAAATCATGCAGTCTGAACTCGGCATTACGGGCAAAAAGGAGAGTAAATTGAGGCACAATATACACGTGTTTTTATGTATTGCTTGTTTAAATCTGTTGTCATTCCTTCTAGACTGTCCGGGAACAAGCAGTGACCAGGCTGGTAAATCATCAGCATGCCAGGGATGCCCAAACCAGAGTATATGTGCGTCTGGTGCTACCAAAGCCCCTGATCCAGGTATACAGTAATATGTGTAGATAGAATAAATAAAGAATATGTTACCATTATATTTACAAATCTGAAAAACAAACAAACAACAGAGATCACGTCAGAGTTATCGGTTTAATCCATCAGTAATAATCTGTGTATTTATGTGGAATGATTTTGAGAGATGAAAACCTAAAACGCATAAAATAACAATTACTCAACTTTGATTTAAGGTTTACAATTCAAGGGCAATTAGAACAGCTTGTTTGTAAACAAAGTTGCAGCATGTTAATTATATGATGCATGCATTAAAAGACAAAAAATATTTCTTTACAAAATGTATTGTACATGAATTATCTAAACATACGCATTTTATTCAGTAATAATTCTGAAATGAATATTAAAAAATTGACAATTATAGACTAGCATGCATTTAAGTCCAGCAGTAGTCTAAATGATGGGCTCAAAAATCTCGTATTACTTTTAGAAAATAAGTAATAATATTTGAGTTCCTTTTTTAAAAATGTAATGCATGTTACTTTTTGTTTAATTAATTAGCTTTTTAAAAATAAATTGCTTAATTGAAATGAAAGTAGTCACAATGAATCATGCAGACAATGAGACAATGTGTTCATTATTTTGAACGCATCGAAGAAAAGGAAAAGGGGATTGTTTCAATGAACAGTGATTTTACTTAAGACAAATAGTACATACTCTAAGTAGTAAATGCATTGCTTTAAACTTTCAATAATCTGTATATACGGCATGTATAGCTCTGGGGTCAGGAAGTTCTCAGATAACATTATCCTAATTATACTATCCTAAAGCTCCTCTTTTGAAATAAAAAAAAAGAAAAAAGTTTAGAAAGAGATCAAACCTCAGGCAGGTAATAAAAGTAATGCAAAAGTAGCTCAACAGTAATTTAATGCATTACTTACTATAAAAAGTAACTTAACTAGTTACTTTTTTGGGGAGTAACTTAATATTATAGTGCATTACTTTCAAAAGTATCTTTCCCCAACACTGATTACAAGTATGTGCAAAGTTATGAAATATACTAAATTATTCTTTTTTCACTTTTGAAGACAAGTCATCAGCAGTTTATAAAATAAAACAAAAATTTTATTTAAAACACATGCCTGCTAATGGCAAATCCATGCTTAAGTGTCATACTGTGATTTTTTTAAAATATATTTTTTATCCATCAATTTCTATTTTCTCTGATTTCAGCTATAGAAGAAATCAAACAGAAAATGACCTCAGTGAAGCACAAGATTCTAGTATTGTCTGGGAAAGGTGGTGTTGGGAAGAGCACGTTCAGCGCACATTTGTCTCATGCATTAGCAAGTGATTCTTCCAAAGAGGTAATACTTTTCAAGTTTTTTATTATTTTTGTTTTGGTGTTTTAAGCAGCTTAAAGCACATTTATTTTTATTTTGACTAGTGTTTAGTCAGACATTTACCTTTAGTCCTCACTAACAGATTAGTTGATGGATCTCTTTTATTGTATTTTTGAATCATTTATACATACATTCAGAGGCACTTAAGCATTAAACATCTGTGACACTAAATTAGCGATGGGTGATTTAGGGAAAATATCAAATTGCAATATTTTTGGACAGATTGCGATTTAAATTGCCATAACATTTTGTAAAGTCAAGATGTAGTTTGCTCACTTTAAATAAAAGAATTACAACATGGTTTTTTATATATATATATATATATACATACACACACACTCACACTCACACACTCACAGTCACACACACACATACACACAGTTGAAGTCAGAATTTTTAGCCCGCCTTTGAATTAACCTAGTTAGTCCTTTAAATGTCACTTTAAGCTGGATAGAAGTGTCTTGAAAAATATCTAGTCAAATTTTATTTACTGTCATCATGGCAAAGATAAAATAATTCAGTTATTAGAAATGAGCTACTAAAACTATCATGTTTAGAAATGTGTTGAAAAAATGTTCTCTGTTAAACAGAATTTGGGAAAGAAAATAAACAGGGCTAATAATTCAGGGTGGCTAATAGTTCTGACTTCAACTGTACGTATATATATGTCATGTTGTTTGCATTCAACTAAAACTATGAAAAAATGCTGATGTTAATCTATGTGTGCTAGCCTCTGAATTGCCACATGAAAAGAATGGGGTCTTACATGTGGTCCCCCGCGTTCTCTCTGTTTCTATGTGTGTGAGTTCTCAGTAAATCTGCAGGGAATCCAGTGCTTTTAGGCTGTACTGTAGTTGACCTGTCTGCACGAACATATGCTTGTTGCCATATCAGATCCATTGATAAAACTATGCTGTCAAGACAGAGAGAGCGAAACTCAAGTCTGTTCGCTATCATCAGTTCATCTTGCTCTCCTGTTTGTGTTTGTTTATGGTGTTTACCTGTGGCTTGTTTGGACACTGCCAATTGGGGAGAATAACTCTGTGCTCACGGCATGAACAGGAGAGTCATGCATTTGCTCTCAGTTGCTGTAAAAATATGTTTATATGTTTGTGTTGTATTCATAGCAGCCTTTGCGATTTAGCTTATCACAACATTTTAAATTAGTTTTTTTATTTAAATGTTTTGTAAAAACATTTGAATAAAGTGTAAAAAAAAGTGTAAAGCCCTACACTAAATTCCAAACAGTGCCAGACATTCATCAGGAATCATCAGCCCATGAGGTAGTCTTTTTCCAGTCTTCTGTTGTCGAGTTTTGCTGTTGTTTTCTGATAAGAGTGGCACTATTGTGCTCTTTCTCTGCTGCTGTAGCTTATCTATTTAAGGTTTGATGTGTAGGTGTTCAGATATGCTCTTCTGCAGACCTCATTTAACTCACTGCAGTCTTTCTGTCAGTTTAAACCTGCCTGGTCATTCTCCTCCTTATTTTGGACCATCCAATTTAGTTCCCCTCCGGAACAAAAAACAAATGGTGTCAATTTCTTTTGCCAGGGATGCCCAAATTCTTGAGTTGTACAATTTTTTTTGTAAAACATTTCAACAATTTTCTCGATATGGTGGGCTTGGGCAGTGCCAGGTATTTTGAACTTCCAAAATGCAGTTTAAATAGGTTTTATGGGCTCTGAATGATTTGAGCTGTGGGAGTAAATTATCTGTACATTTTATGAAAAAATATTTTAGGTGCTATTGCTTTAAATTTGTATCTACAGGTTGCTCAATAATGCTTACTAAATAATTGTCACTGTTGAGTTTTATATGACCAAAATTTGTTTAAAAAAATTAAAAACGCAAAAAAAATATTTGAAGTTCAGTATTTGTGTTTGTTTAATTATTTAATTCTTATTGGTGTAAATAAATAATTTGAAACCATTTGAAACTGTAGAAATAAAATATATAAAAAGAAAATAAACAAAATCTATCAAAATTATCTAATTAGTAAACAAATAATAAAGTAAATATTATTCAATTCAAAATAAATTTTATAAGAATATTTATAGAAATTTAAGTAACAAAAATGTATTTGAATAAATAAATATAATTAGACTAAAATTGCTAATATAATTTTGCTAATAAGTGTGAATATTAATAAATGCAATGCTGTGAGTACATTTTTTTAAACAAAAATTAGAAACTAGACATTTTTCTTATTGCATTTTACAACTATTTAAAATATTTATATTTTGATAGTATAAATTGAGTTTTTAAACTATTAAACCATAAAGATAACCTTTCCATTTTAGGATGGGTTTCCTTGCATGAGGATGATCTTATTTGGGAATCATGGCTTCTAAAAGTATGAAAACTCTTCATCTAGATTATCATGTCATAGAATATATGATTCATAAACATTAAATGTGGATATGCTATAGGGCTGCACAGCATATCGTTTCAGCATCGATATCGCAATGTGCGCATCCGCTATAGTCACATTACAAAGATAAGCAATGTCCAGTCTGGTTTCTAGTTGAGCAAGAGCCACAGAATTGTATTCAATCACTGTATTATATGGAATTTATATGATTTATGCAAAACAAAAATCTTAGATTTTTTTGTCTTGTTTCTAGCCCAAATATCTACATTTCAAATCGAAAAAAAAAGATTATGTCACGGTCAGTGTATCTTTTGGTCATTGGATTTTCATTTTAGAAACGAATATTGAAATACAAAAAACGAGCCGTTTTTTGATTTTGGTTTTTGAATTTTAAAACGAAATTCAAAAAACGGCTTGTTGTTCTATTTCATGGTGAAAAATGAAAACCCAAAATTCAAAAATGATTTAATTTTCATTTTTTATTTTGAAAAGCAAAAAATAAAATCACCAGAAAACAAAAACGAATAAAGGCTTGTGTTTTATATTCTGAAACCAGATAGGCCGACTCATTTGCAATGACACAATGCTGCCACACACAGTGAAGCCTTCTAAAGTACTACTAACTTTCTTTTATCCTTTTTACCCTAATGTTATAAAGGTATTTTCTTGTGATAACGGGATTTTGTGAAGACATGTTTTCATCAAGATGAAATATTTCTTGTATAAAGGCCGATTATAGGCTATATCATTTTTTGTTAGCATGTTTTATATGAAACAACTTTATTTTGACGTTACATGCAAACATCACGTTGCTTAACTGAACACTTTTCTGAAAAGAAAGTTTTAATATTGTTAACCTTAACACTTCCACTTCTCGAAGTTTTACGACGAATCATTTCAAGTGAAGGAGGCATTAAAAACAGTTCTAGAATTTGAAAATAAAAATTCTAAATTCTAATTTTAATTAAAAACTCAAAAACCAAAATCAAAAAACGTCTTGTTTTTAAATATTCGTTTCTAAAATGAAAATCCAATGACCAAAAGATACACTGACCTTTCACTTACCCCACTGGCAAATAAATTTCTTAAAACAAGCAAAAAACTCTTCATTTTCACTTATTTATTCTGATGGTGAACACTAAACTATATATTTTTTTAGTCATTTTTTTTTTAAATCTTTGGACTAAAAACAAGACAAAAAGAAAAGTATTGTGATTATTCAAATTCTGTACCCAAATACTGTTAGACTCCCCAGCAAACCATCAAAAAGTGCTATTCAAACCATCTTCCAAAACTGAAATAAAAACATTGAAAAATAAAATATTGCATTATCAGATTTTTTCAATATCGTGCATCCCTAATATGCAATATGTCCTCTGTAAATAGTTTGAAAAGCTATTGTATCTTCTAGTGTTTTTCTTTGAATATTTATTGGAATATAAAATTTTGGTGTTTTACCAATTTATATTTTTCTATCAAGACTCAAGTATGATCTGCCCTTTTTGATTAAAAACGTGTTTTTGCACTCATCAGAATTTGAAATGCCACAGCTGATTTAGATTCCTGACTCTGACTGATTTGAAATAAAATCTGATTAATTTTCACCTTGTTGTTCCAGTAGATTAGTTACAGAAATTTTTTTTTTCCGCCTTCCAGCACTAGGAACATTAAATCACATTTCATTGTTCAGAAACTCTTTAGAAATCATGTCAGACATTTTAAGCGTAGTGCCTTCAGCAAGACATTATCCTATTAATCAGAATAAGAAAACCAAGCAGCCGCTGAGGGAAAACATAATACTTATGCTTTCGAACTTGAATGAATCACTACAAGAGAGCAGTGAGCAGGAAAAGCTTCTGTTTGAAATTCTGCATCCGAGCCAAGCACTTCACAATAATGTTTCTCCATCTGAGACTGCTGGCTATTTTTAGAGCATTGTGGGGCTCTGCGGCAGAAAGAGCTGTGTTTACCGGGTTCATTGAGAAGAGCATGGCTGTGACTGGGACTCTTTCTGAGCCAGTGCACTAGGGAGAGCTGTATTGATCTCGTCTCAGCAAACTGCGGCCACAATAGTGCTGTCAGCGTGCAGACTGCGGCTGCAGTTTACCCTTTGGCAGCTCACTGACTGAAATAATCTTCAATCCTTCAAACAATCTAAATCGCACAGCTTGGAGACCTCCAGAATGGGGATTATTTCATTGTCAGCCGATATATAAAAAGCAGAGAGAACTCAAACCTCATGGGCTCCGCTTCCAGTAGTGTTTAAAAAAAGGTCACTATAAAATTAATGGCCATGTCTTTTCATGAGCAAAAAGCCTTTTAAAGAATACTCCATTTGGTAGCGGGTGATGATCAGCATCAGGAAACAATAAAAAGATTGGTAACACTTTATAATAACTACACTACACACTATGAATCATCTATTAAGCATTAGCACATAGTTTATTTGTAATCTATTAAACATGAACTCTACATTATATGTTAGTGAGCAGTTAACATATAATGTGTTAACTGCTCACTAACATATAATGTTAGTGAGCAGTTAACAGGTACAAATGCTGTATTCTTGACTTTATAAGCACTTTTTTTAATG